AGGCTTAACAGCCTCAAAGCTGATTGATTAACTGTGGCTATTGGTCAGTAGTTGGTGGTGGTGGTGATGGTGGCAGGGATGATAGATTGTTCCTTTGGATTATTCCTTCCAGCTCTAAATTCTATGAATGCAATTATGATAATGGAATGCAAATCTCTTGACCCTGGGTTTAAGAGTGTTTCTGCTACACAGGCAGCATGGTCTAATAATGGGTAGAGGGCTGGACCTGAAATTAGAGAGACCTGGATTCAGATACCGCTTCTGATACTTACTAGCTGTATGAACATGGGCAAGTTTTTGTGCCTCAGACTCCACATCTGTAATAATATCTATAGTACCTCCTTCACAATGTTATTGTGAGATTCAAATGAGGTATTATATATAAATCTCTGTAGAGATGTCAGTTATTACACATCACCGCCCGTGAGCTTAACTTTAAGGGCCATATTTTCATTTCACGTTCCATCCCTGTGCCTTAGAACCAGAATCTCCACTCATAGTTCTTAAGATAAGAAAGTAAACAATAAATAACAAAAGATAAATTCTTCCATTTTAGCATTCCTGAAACCATTGTTAGCATTTAAGAGCTTGAGTTCTTTCTGTTTGCTACACCTGCTCCTATAATACTTGAAATCTGTACCTCAGGGCTTCTGAAAATGAAGCCTGCAAAACAACGTCTACAGTCTTTTGCCTTGTACTTGGAAAGTCAGGAGAACACATTCCAACTGTCTTTGTTTTCCAGGGTGGTACCAATGCCTCTCAGTCTCCATTTGTCCAGATGCCAGGTGAGTACAACAAACAGCTCCATCAATTATTTATTTTTTGGTTAAAATCAGGCAATTGATTTTCATGTGGCATACATATTTTGCAACACTAAATAATATTTCCCAATGCATTTTCTCTTCAGGTACAGCATATACTCACTCACACACGGCCTACTATAATCGTTATTATCTTTGTACGCTCTATTGAAAGCCTGTCACCCAATTCAGGGGGAATCACAGACTTAATATAGAACATTTTGTGTCATGGACCCCTTTAACAATCAGAGGGAGCCTATAGACCCCCTTCTCAGAATAATGTTTTTAAATGATTAAAATAAAATATACAGATGTACAAAGGAGACCAATCATATCGAAATACAGTTATCAATTTTAAAAAAACAGTCTTAGACACCCCCTCCTCCACTCAGAAATCTATCCATGGACTTATTAGGGGTCTATGAACCACAAAGTCAGAACCCCTAGTCTAGAGGAAGATGGTTAAGTAGTCCAGTTATCAATTAGGTCTTTGAAAATAATGACAAAATTTCCCTTCACAGGTATCTAAAGAACAGATTTAGCACATACTCTAAAGAATTTTGTAAAGGAGCTAACAACCCATTAGTTTAAGAAGCAATAACTAGAAAAGAGGGAAAAATAAAATCTATCTGTAATAATAGGATTTCAAAGACCGTTCTTGATACATAGGGAGGAGAAGTGAATAAAACTCAACCCTCCATACTGTCTAGAATCCGTCTGATATAAGACCGTCTTCTATTGTCCTGGAAAACGTAAGTTTCTTGAGGGGCTAGGACAGTTTTGCATTTTGTCTCTGTGCCACCAGCAGCTAACTATTCAATCTAATTCAACAAACATTTTAAAGCACTTACTATGTAAAAGGCACCATGTTGGGTGTAGAGGGAAAGACAATAACAAAACCTGTCTGCCCCAGAAAAATTTATAACCCCCTGGGTTTGGAGGTGGGATGGTGGGGACAAGATATAACATGCGAACATACAAAAAAGTAAGTTAATAAAATTCGTGCCCAAAGTAAAACAAAGTAATTCCAAAAAGAAAGAATACTAGTAATTTGGGAAGTTTATCAATACAATGCCTTACGAATTGTAAGTACTAAATAAATGCTTATTAAATGAGTGAATAGTAGCTTCAATACCTTCAGTGCCAATGATAAGGTCAAAAAATGTATTTCAGTTGAGAACCCAAGTATGTCTAGTGGCAGCTCTCCATCCTGCATTCCCAGATTCCATTTACTGTTCCTTTGAACCTGGAAGTGGCTACTACTGGCCAGTTCCTGTAATTTCTCATTTTGCCTAAAATCTTAACATGTCTTCCATCCTTTTAAGAATTAAGAATTGCCATATTCCTAAAAGCAGAATTATCTTCTTTTTTTTTAAAGGATCTTTCTATCCAGGAGTTGGAAATTTGGATATGAGGGCATGGGAACATTATTTACATATTCTGTTCTTGGCCTTACCCACCCTTGTAGCTCTAAATATTGTTGTGTAAAACACAGCTTTATTTATTGATTTAATTTTCACTTGTGTAAATTTTTCCTGGAATAGCCCCCCTTCACACAAAGGCTGTAACTGTAGTCTTCAAACTTATGGCAGGATTAGAAGCTTTTGGATACAGAGCTCAAGATGGAATAGAGTGGATTACAATGACATTCTTGTTCCTGTCTGGAGAATTCTAATTTCATTCAGCTTCAGAAGCCCTGGGTTCGAATCTCGGTTCTGCCATTGACGATGGGGGTAGCTTGGACAAATTACTTACTGCACCTCTCTGGGCCTCAGTTTGTTTTTTGTTTGTTTGTTTTCATCTGTGAAGTGAAGGGGTCAGATTATGATCTCTCAAGTTTCTTGAGTCTCTAAATCTTCCGTCCTGAGATAACTTATGGCCTGTATGGCACGATATCAAATGGTTGCAAGAAATATGAAAGTAGTAGACATGATCCCTCACTCCATGGAGCTTATACGTGAATGCTAAAGAGAAGGCTAACATATATGAAATAATAATGGACATAATATGAAGTGCTGTAGGAATTTAGAGGAAAGGGAGATTAATTGGTGCTCTTGGTTTAGGAACTCTCTCCCTATCCCCACGTTGCCACCTCCTCCTCTATCTGGGGTAAAGAATAGAATAGGGGACTCGGAGTTGTCCCTGTGTGGTGGGAACGCAGCTTCTGAGAGGGCACATCATTCCAGATTTAATTGATTAGGATATCTCAGTCGGTAGCACATTGATTTTTGCAACTGCACATATTTTCAACCAATAGATCACCTTCTGCTGCAAAAAAAGAGAGAAAAATGTAACATCACCTACCTTTGAAAATGTGACTTTTCCCTAAAATGTAGTAGCAGCACAGTTCAAAAGCAATGTTTAACATTTTCCTTGCCATCCCAATCATCTCACCGACTTTCCTTCATACATGAATAAGGTCATCTTGAAATTCTTCTTCTTTGGCATTTGGGGACATCACAGTTGTCTCCACCCTGGGTCTCCAGATTGATATCCTATTAGTGCCCCGCATGCATTCTGTATTCCTACCAAATTGGCCCTCTTACAACTCTCTGTACCTGATATTTCTTCCCTCTTCTCTGGGGCTTTTTTTTTTTCTGCACAGGTCAGTTCTACATTCCTAGAATGTTCTCCCTCCTCATCTCTGCGTCTTACAATCACTAGCTCCATGCAAATCATAGCTCAAGTATTATCTCCTGCAATAAGCTTTTCATGATCCCAACAACTGCTACTGCTTCCCACCCCACCTTCCCAAAACTGCTTTGTAAATATTCTGTATTTACTTATCTGTACATACCTTTCTTCCGATGGAATGTAAGCTCCTTGACGGCGGGAACTGTTTTCATTTTTGTCTTTGTATTCCCAGAGCTTAGTACCTTGACTAGCACATAGCAGGTACTTAATAAATGCCTGTTGAATTGAATTGAATTTCTTATCCCCCTTTCGTTCCAGCCCTCTCTTTTAAAAAGTTCAAGGCTTTACTTTCTGTTCTTTCAGACCTGGTTGAAGGATAATGTATTAGCCACTAGAGGGAGGCAGATAATATAAGCATAGTAAAGACCAGAAAATGCCAGCCCCAGACTCTTGCCCTTGCCTCACAGTTACCTGCTTGCCGTCACCATCAACAACGAACATTTATTTATTGGATGTCTTCTCCATGCAAACCTTTGTGTTAAGTGCTTCTGGATACCACCACCCCAAGTGTCCACAATGCCTTGCACAAAATAGATTATTTATTGATTGTTTGTTGAATGGCTAAATCCAAAACTACATAATCTGGGATCCAACCCTTCTTGTCCAAGGACAAAGGTAGTTTGAACAATGACCCCTATAGAAGGACTGTGGCAATAGAAGGTGCAGAGAAGGTAAATAGATTCACAAAATTTATAGATCATTTGAAAGGTGTTTTTACTTTGTTTTGTTCATTCAAGTCCATTTATTTCAACCGGTATTTATTACATACTCACTTTGGACATAAGGAATACAAAGTTGTTTAATTCAATGAAACAACAAATATCAAACACTCTTAGTGATATAGGGTGCTACCCTAGGTGCCCAAATGCATAAAAATTTAGAAAGAACAAAAACGTGATTCTTGCCCTTATCCCTATCCTCAAAGAGTTAGTCAAATGAGAGAGGTGAGACAGACAGCCACTGAATCATAATAGAAATCATAGTATAATAAAATCAAAACCAAGGTACAGAAAAGATACTATGAGAAACCAAGGGACATTACTTCTGACTGAGGAGATGAGGAGGGGTTTATTGGAGCAGATCACACCTAAAGTAGACCTGCAAGCTAGATTGGAACTAAACCTTGATTTCAACTGGTGGAGGAGACTGGTGGGGAGGTGAGGGGTGCATTCCAGGCATCCTGAATGGCATGAGCCAGGTCACAGACTAGGGAAGGTATAGCACTTATTCCAATTTGACTGGAACTCAAAACATATGAAGGATATGTTTATATCCTTTATATAGATAAGGCTGGAGAAATAGATTGGAGCCAGATTGTAGGGGGCTGTAAGCACCAGGATGGACTAATTGTATATACCATGCTAACCTTCCCAAGCAGTCTCTGATGGATTCATACTTAAGAGCAGAGTAAATGACTGCTATTTTGATCAGAGAATTTAAGAGTGACAGCTCAGGACAACTTGGCTTTTTCCCAGGATACTTATCCATGGATGTTTATAGTGTTAGTATCAGGGAGGCATTCATAAGATACAAGAGAGCACAAAAGTGATTGACCAGCTCTCATCATTTAGACTTATTATTCTTTCTCTCTCCTCTCCTCCCCCGCCCCCGTTTTGTTTTGTTTTAAAATTGGCAATAGGCTCACCTGCAACGTCAGGTTACTATGGTGTTAGAAGATCTTTTTTATCTGACTCGGATTTCCACAACAGTAAACAATTTTCAAATGATGGCTACCAATCAACCCTGGCTAAACCCTTTTCCTGTGAGTCCTCTGCAATGCAAAATTACCCACCGATCCTGGATTCCTACTTTTCCGAGCCTTATGGAGACTACCGCCCGGCAGCTCTCACCCCCAACACGAGCTCTCTCTTTGGTGCTTCGCCCTTGCCCCCGCCGCTTCTACAACCACATTTTCCAAGTGACTCCACCCACTTCGTATTTGTGAGTATTCGGAGATTCTTGGAGAGTAAGCTGACAGCGGGGAGAATTTGTGCAGATCACCAACCTGTCTCACAACCAAGTTGGGGAATTCACTGAGGCTGCTCTGAAGCTGACCCCTGAGAGTCTCTGACAAAGAGACTTTTCACCCAGGATTGATTTGTTTTCTTGTAGGCCAATTGAATACCCCACCCCCACTCCCCAAGCTCAGCAAACTGACTCTGTACTGCAGGACACTGCTTATGCATTTTAGCGTAGCCCGAGAAACAAGGGGATTATACTATGGCACTGCCTAATAACTACTACAAGAATACTCACTGAGGGAAAGCCCTTCTTAGAAATTGGTTTCAAACTCCTGAGAAAAAAAGTTTCATCCTGTAGATAAATGCTAATTTATCATTCTTGTCACTGTATTAATACTTAATGGATTTCAGTGATTTAACAAATTTTAATTCATTGCAGGCGGCAATGTGAGGGTAGTAAATAGAGTAAATAGGAAGACTAGGGCTTAAATCCTACTTGTTGCTTTGACCAATCAGTACTCTAGGCAACTTCTCTAGGACTGACTAAATTGCAATGGGACTGACTTGCATTGGTAGATGCAGTCATCTGGGAATTCCCTAAACCAATGAAATCGCAGGTATAGTTAGGATTCCCCCAAATTCATTGTGGAGAAGCACTCCCACCTGATGTTACAGACGTGAGAATTGAAAGACAATTCAAGTGGTGTCCCCAAAACATTCAAGGAAACATCATAGGGATTCTGGCCTGCAAAGAGTGTAAATCTTGTATCTGTAAAAATTGAGAAGTAGGCCATCTGTCTTCCATTTCAACATCTCTCCTTCTCTTGGGATCCTTAAGTTTCCTGCCCAGTCCCTGTCCTCTCGTCCCTGTAGTTCTTTCTTCTTAATTATCATAATTCCTGCTAAGGCTGTGAACTCTGATAAAGGCTTAGAGGTGTTAACCTCTCAACAGTATTTGCATTTTAACCAAGCATTCCTGAAGACTCAAAAACCTTCAGGAATTAAGAAATCTTCAATAGATGAATTTTAGGCAGCATTATAGCTGCAGGGGGAAGGGTGACGATTTGGGGAAAAGGTCCCTTCTGGATCATGCAAGGCTTATTAAAGTAACTACTTTATAAGAAAGTCTAGCTCCAGCCTTCAGCCATGCGCAGTGTGTGGCACTGGACTCAAAAAGTTGCATTTTGTTCCTGTATTTCTTTTCTCTGGGAGGGAGGAAGGAGAACAGTGTATAGATAGTAAGTACAAATCTAAATTAGGAAATGAAATAAACTTTTATAGAAATAAACCAAACTAAACAGATGAGCTAAAAACTAGGGTTCCATCTAGCAGAGGAAAAAATAAAGTCCCCTTTCTAGCCTGTACTTCTGTATAAGATATTTGATGGGGAATTCCTAGACATGAAAATGTAATTCCATTTCTTGCCAACATTCAGCAACTTTTCTCATTTTTTTTTCCTCAGAGAGACTCATGGGAGCAAACAGTGCCTGATAGCCTTAACCAGCCTGATGTGGCGTCTTCAGACCCACTGCAAACACTACCAGCTGGCACTAATTGCCTTTCACCACAGGAGTCTGGAAGCCCCTCTCAACACAGAAGCTCTGGTTGGGGGGCTGCTGTCCCTGGAGCTCAGCCCTACTCACTGCATGCCCTGGAGGACCTACATTATACATCAGGTTACCCCACTCCTTCCTCCTACTCTTTCACACCTTTTATGACAGTGACCAATGATTTAACTCCCAAGGTGATTCAGCTCTCTTCAGATGAGTCCCTGGATACAACCTCTCTTCATGAGAATCTATCCTGGACAAAGGACGATGGGAATGGGGTATGGGGGTCCTATGAATGTCGAAGAGCTTACTGAGAAAAAAAAAATCTCACTTGTAATAATATGCTTTCAAATACTGATGTTTTCACTCAGTAAATAGGTCTGTCAGTTCATTCAAAGACTAATTTTCAAGGGATGTAGTAATTGTTTTATGTTTTTTTTAAGAATATCAAAAAGTCACCTGACAGTGGGACACTGGTATATTCACAATGCGGTGATACACATCTTTAAGATGTCATGCCCTGGAACATTGGCAGGCCATCCGTGTGACTTGTACCATAGGACTGCAGTCAACTGCATTTTGATACTTCTACAATTCTATTTTCCAAGAAAGACCTACTTCACATTGAATTTTGCTGTAGAATTAGTAACTGCATTGCAACAAAATTTTACTAGATATACTCAGAAATTTAACACTGAGATGAAGAACCATTTCTTGACACCAGTACTTTCATTAATGGACATCAAATCCAATATATGTCATACAACATACTGATTTTCATGTTCAATATGTCATATTTGAGAGGTCCATGTCATTTAATATAAAATAGTGTTCTTTGAAATTGACTTCAGGAAAACCTAGATTTAAATCCTGCCTCTGACACTAATTTGGGGATCATAGACAAGTCACTTAGCCTCTGTGGGCTTCATGCAACTCTCTAAAGTTTACATACTAAATTACAGGCCAGTTGATCTGCCCATGTGAAGGGAGATCTCACATTTAAGACATCGTTGAAATTGATGGTGTTGTTTTGAAGAAGAAGGAGGAGGAAGAGGAGAAGGAAGAGGAGGAGGAGGAGGAGGAGAAGAGGAGGAGGAGGAGGAGAAGAAGAAGAAGAAGAAGAAGAAGAAGAAGAAGAAGAAGAAGAAGAAGAAGAAGAAGAAGAAGAAGGAGGAGGAGGAGGAGGAGGAGGAGGAGGAGGAGGAGGAGGAGGAGAAGAAGAAGAAGAAGAAGAAGAAGAAGAAGAAGAAGAAGGAGAAGAAGAAGGAGAAGAAGAAGAAGAAGAAGAAGAAGAAGAAGAAGAAGAAGAAGAAGAAGAAGAAGAAGGAGAAGGAGAAGAAGAAAATGATGATGATGATATAGGGTGTAACATAGGATAATCCATTTCAAACAAACCTCCTTTCATATAATACGGCTTTAAAGGGGTGGTTTTAAAATGACTTCTTGGTTCAAGGTGAATTTTTTAATCCTAGAAATAGAAAAGACATTATTTACAAATAGAACCAGATGGGGAGCCTCTGGATTGGCAACTAGATTCAGTGTATTCACAAATAGGACTCAGCTCTGAAACCCATCTAGACCAAAAACCAGACTAAAAAGAAGATAAATGTCAAAAACAAGTTTTTCTTATTAATATAAGTAATTATGTTACATTAAAAAACATTAATTAACCTAAGGCATCTTATCCCTGGGATGGGATAAATATAGAGACTAAAAGTAACAGTGAAATAATAAAACAAGAATCATGTATTCTGAAAAGAATATTGATTATCAGCAGAAAACCCAGATATCAGAGGCTGTCAACAGGACACATCAGAATGTTTATACCAGAAAGAGGATTAAGAAAGTGTCATGGCCAAAGAGATGTACATGTAATTATTAGAAGAAATATCTTGCCTGTAGTACCGTGACCAAAAGAATATAACTCTCCTTAAATATTAATAAATTAACATTTTGGTTTACTAACTAGTCTCACTTTGGTTGGTGTCAATTAATTTTTGTGGCTTAATGATCTGTGACCACAATTCCTACTAAGCTTTCAAGGCCATCCAGATCGTTAAATTCCTCGCATACTTTGCTTGCCACAGAGAATCCTGGGTTCCTTATGCTTCAGCCCCTCTCGTTCTCGGTGACCACTTGTGGGTATGTTAAAATGAGGATTCCTGTGGTGTATGAATTTGATTAGATAGACCATGAAGTCCCTTCCAACTCCCAATTTTGTAATTCTTCCCTCTCCCAACTCATTGCTCCCCTTTCTATTTCCCCTTCTTCATCTCATTCTCAACCTCTCTGCCTTTTTCACCTCAACTTCCTCAGCTCAGAATCTGCTTTCATCTTAACCTCTAACAACAGAAACTGGTTAAAAGAAGGGTTCTTATTTTTTGGTATGGTTTTGTTGCTGTTTTTTTTTTCACTTTGTATTTGCAGTACCTGACACAGTTCCGTAATAAATGCTTGTTGACTGATTAAATTCATATATATATATATATATATATATATATATATATATATATATATATATATATATATATATATATATATATATATATGTATATATATATATATACATGCATGCATACATACATACATACATACATACATACATACATATTTAGCTTTGGAATTTTTCTGAATTACACATATTTGAATCATGGCTATGTGCAATGGTCTTGGAATTTATGAAATTTCTCCCCTCTTCTGGATTCCCCCAAAGGAAGCCATGCTCTGAAAATCTGACCCAAAAAGTGATTTAAAAGAAGGGGGAAGGAGGCAAGCTGTCCACCTTCTCTGTCCTGCTTCTCATTCAGATTCTACTTCTTCTATTACAATGGTTTCCAAAATGGGGCCTGGGAACCCAAATGAGATAATATTTGTAAAATGTTTAACACAGTTCCTGGCACATAGTTGGTGTTATAAAAATGCTTATTCCCCTTTGCCTTCTCTCCCCTCCCCTAAACAGAGTCATAGCCTGGCCAGGGTCTATACGTAATTAAAAAAAAATTGCAGGGCGGCAAAAAAGATCGAATCCCACCAATTCTTCAAAAGCCATTGTGAGGTTTGTTTCCAATACCACCACACCTCTGCTATTCTGCTTGGTTGGCAACCTCCCCCTCTAGACCCAGTGTCAGCCCCTTAAAGTACGTCTAGCCTAAATTATAGTTACAGAAATGACACAACTAACTTTGGAAAAAATCCACCTGTAACTCCTGTCTCTCCAACCCTCCTTCGATCACTTAGTGCCTGGAGTAGGTGCCATTGAAAGGATGGGCCCTGTGTTTGATGGTAGTAAATGCTGAGTGGGATAGAGTGATGCAAAACTGGTAAGCATGGATGGATTTTGACCTGGATCCAAGAGATCATTAATTATCTTTCCTCCAACCAGGCCATTTTCCAAACATCCCTGTTACTACCAAGGACACTGCTACACTTTCTTACACCCAAGTTTTCGCAATCTCGGTGTCATCTTAGACATCTCGGCCTCCCTCACCCCCATATAGCCAATCCATAGCCAAATCTCATCCATTTTCTCCTCTCATTTTTCACATTTACTGCCTTTTCTTTACTCACATAGCCACCACCCCAGTTTAGGCACTCTTCTCCTCTTACCTGAACTATTCCAATACCCTTTCATTGGTCAAGTCTCTCCCTTCAACAGTCTATCCTCCACAGTTGCCAAAATAGTTTTTCTAAAATACAGATCTGACCTTGTCACTCCTCTACTCAATGAACTCTAGTGGCTCTCTATTGACTATTGAAGCAAATATTTCATCTTTCTATTACCCTTTTAAATTTTTCTATTTTTGTGTATTTTTAAATGGATATAATTATTAGCACCATAATACACATATTTACATATATATCATAAGTAAGTCAATATAGACATATTGGGATGCATGCTCAAAAAACGTTTTACTTGTACAATCAAAAAGTTTGGAGATCATTGTCCAAGTTGATGCTAGAAATGACTCTATCCCCCTGATGCAAAGTTTTAGCCTGAGAAAAATGGAGCTCTTCCTTCCCTCATTCCTTCTCTCTTTCCTGCTTTCCCTGCCCCACACCTGTATGTATTGTGTGTGTATCTGTGTGTGTGTGTGTGTGTGTCTCTCTCTCTCTCTTTCTGTCTTTGTCTGTCTCTCTGTCTGTGTCTCTCTCTACATATATATATGTGTGTATATACGTGCATATATTATATATATATATATATATATACACACACACACACACACACACACACACACACACACACACACACACACACACATACATATACATATATATATTTCTCTCTCTCCTTTGCTTCATACCTTCTGGGAGAGAAGGAGTTCCAATTAATTGTTTCTGAATAAAGGGCCTTGCCCTTCTCTTCCATTCCAGCTCCTGATAAGGTTTAGACTAACCCAGTGGGATTAAGAGTAATCAGAGATAGTGATGTTAAAGTATTAAAATAAGCAAATGAAATCATGATGCCAAGTTGAAAGCAAGATTTGCCCATGCAAAAGATACAATGTGGATAATCCTCCCATAGATCACAGGAGTGACTTTACAATACACAGTTGTACATGTTTGTATTTCTCCACAATGCTGCACAATCCCAAAAGAATGAGAGAAGAAAACCACACCTTTGCCTCCTATGTTTAATAAATAACCTTTAAAAGATTATTTTGATTTGCTATTATCTGAATGATACAGTATGACTATGCTATTGTAGTAAGGGAGGAAGGCTAAGAAATTTCATTGAGAAAATGTATGCCTAAAATTTTTTATGATCCATTTTATATAATATATAACTATGAATATTACTTAATAATCTGTATAATCCATGAAGATGATCTCAAAATATCTTGTTCATTTGGAAGAAGTCCAGCTCTCCATTAAAAAAGCTAAACTCCAAAATGATGTGTGAACTGTGCCTATAAAGTAATGAGAATATTCACAAGCGATACACTAAAATCACCCTCATTATAGTAACAATTTGCATAAACTATGCTTGAAATTCATACTTTACTCATTGTCCGTGTTTATGGCAACATTAATATCAACCAGAGTTGACCAGCTACTATTGAATCACAAAGAAAGAAACACAAAATGTGCCCCTTTTACTAAACTGCCATCACAAAAGCCAAAAATGAGCAACATATTGTCTAAGGCCAGTTTAAAAGCTTTCTATTTTCTTGAGATTTAACATTAGCCAAACTTTAAGGCTAATGTTAGGATAAAACAGCTAATACTGATGTTAGCTAGAATTTGAGATTTGTTGACAATACATGCATTTAAATATAGTTACTCCATTTCTACTTGAAAGGTTCAGAGAAGCCAAATCAATAAAAATGCGTAATAATACAGAAAGTTGCTTCATGTGATCAATTATTTGCTATCATGTAACTTAGTACTAAAAGTTTTATATGAAACAGTTTTCCAATTTCAGCATTGCCTCTGAATGGTCATAGAGGGTGTACATGGTGTACACATAAGGCTAGGACGCTATAAATGGTCTAACATAAAAGTTCCTGTAAATTTCTTTATAACTATTTCATATTTGATAAATTTTAAAGATATATTGTTAAAGGCACATTATTTAAAGATAAATTATAAAGGTTTATTATCCATAACAGTGGTGATATTTATATATAAGGTCAGCAGCTAGGTGGTGCAGTAGACAGAGCGCTCCGCCTAGAGTCAGGAATCCTGAGTTCAAATCCAGCCTCCAGACATTTATTACCTGGGCAAGTCATTTAACCCTGTTTGCCTCAGTTTCCTCATTTGTGAAATGACCTGGAGAAGGAAATGGCAAATCACTCCAGCATCTTTGCCAAGAAATGACCCCAAATGGGGTCACAAAGAATCAGACATGACTGAAATGACTGAACGATAACAAAAATATATAAGGCTGTGATTTGGAGGGTAAAGACCTAGATCTGTGATTTTGTTGGTAAAGCCCCAACAATGTTACTTGTCACGTGCTCTGCTATTTATAGTACTAGGGTATTTGTTGCCTGGAGCATTGGTGGGGTGAAGAACTTGTTCAGGGTCACCCTGC